GAAAGATTTTCTTGTCTGAAACTTTGAAGTTTGATTGCAACAGTTATAGAATGCCACAATGGTCTTGGTTGTCCTTTATAAAATTTTGAAGATGATTTCTTAATTGTAGTACTTCTCAAATTTGGTAGTTTTACTACTTTTCTCCCTTCTTTCTAGTGATTTATCTAGTTTCTTGGGAAGCATGAGAGATTGGGTTAGAGCATGCTGATATTCCATCTGATGTTGAACTAGCATTAAATTTCACTCTTGAAAGGGAATGTAGTGATATTGAACTGCCAATTGTAGCCTACAATTTAAAGGAAATTCTTTAAATCAGTGATTAAGAAATACCAACATAGTCTCTCTTTTTTTCATTGTATTTTGTTTAAGGAGCTAAGCAGAATAACTGTAAACAAAAAGCATCCTTAACATGCTGAAAACCAATGCCTGCTATCGAAAATTAATTCCAGCTTCCTCTCCTTAAAGAACAAATTCCTTGCCCTATTTTCCCTTGCGATCGTTGTGTTCAGTTTATTTCCCTTTGCATTTTTTTAACAGAACTTTGTTCATTATTCTTGAGGACTGGAAACCTTAAGGATAGAATTCAGTTGCCAAATCCAGCAATTTTTATATCTAGTAGTCTATGCGTCTATCTAGTTCAGCGCATGTTGTAGGTATCAACATCTTTTAGTGCTTTTACTTAGCGTGTATCATCTAATAAATCAAGAGCATGTTGTATAAATGGTTTGCTTACTTGAATCCTCTTGTTAAGGGGCAGGTTGGGTGCAGATTTGGAAGCTACTTTGCAGAAGTATTAGTCAAATCTAGCAAAGACAACTTAGAGATCTTTAGGAGGAATATTGGGTTTGGAGAACCAGATTTATTTCTATTTTAATATTAAGATATTGTCCAGAGTTGGGTGGTGCAATTTTAATCATTGGGTAAGTTTTCATCGGAGCAACTTCTTTTGGATGTAAAAAGTGATTAATCTTCCCCTACGTTATTTGTGGTTGGAATAATTAACCATTGCTGATGCCTCGTTATATGCATTTGTTTTGAAGATGATTATTTACCAGCTGTGGCTTAAGGTGTTCTGATAATGGCTTAAATATTTGTACTTAAGGTGTTCTGATAATGGGACTCTTCAGAAAACATTTTAGCACGAAAGGGAGGAATTCTTCATGTTTCCTGAAGATTATTGCACCAAAACTATTTAAGTTGCAAGTACCAATACATTTAAAAGTTTTAGTTATTGCATTCAAAGTCAACTTCTTGACAATACTGCACTGGACTCTGCAATATTGGAGCGTATTCATTTGTCTACTCAAGCATGAGTTTGGTCAAAGCTAGAGTGACAAAGCTGAGCATATTTGTGTCATAATATGGAAAAGTAAAAGCCGGGGACATGAATGTACCTTGTTTTCGTGCTTATTCTTGAATTCTAATTTTATTGTGGTTGAGTTGGGCTCCATACTCTTGAACCTCTTCTAAGTTCCGAAGTAAATATAAAAAAAAGAATTATGATCCTAACTTTTTTTATTTGATAGGAAACTGATTAAAATATACAGATAGAAAAGGAGCCACCAGTCTTGTTTAACAAAATATGTTCCTGAGTTCAAGACATTATGTCTAACTGATTCAATTTTCAAAATTGGAATTATAAAGTCGTATAAATGTTGATTACTGATGACCAGACCTCATTTCCTCATTTCCTATACTGTTTGTACTATCTTAATCTCACTTAAGGCCATACAAAATCTCTATAATATCTCTTATCCTCTCTTTCTGGAGCCTTCTACATGATTAAAATTGAAGAGATGCAAGTAGCATCATCCTCCATGTACATTGTATATGGACAAATGTTTTTCCTAAGAACACATTAAATAGATACAATCAAATTACATGATTTTTCGGTGTCTTTTTCGGTTGACATTAGTTCATCAGATATCCACTACATTCTGATTGGTTGTACATAAGAATCTTGTTTTGTGCATATTTTGTGTGGTGCAGTTGATTTACTTAGACTTTTCTATGCGAGCATGCTTTCATCTGAGTGGCATTCTGGTAATCTGTTGAAATAATTATCTCACCACTTTGGCATTCATTTAACTTGTCACCCCTTATAGTTATAACCGTTCTTTGACTGCTTGCAGCTGAGGCAGCATATATGTTTTAGCTTTCACATTTGGACCTCTAACATTTCTCTTTTAATGATATGGCAGTTATGCATCACACTTTGCATTGCCACAAATAGCAATGCTTGGATAGGCACAGCTGTGCTTGTAACCAACATGAGGAACTTCCCTCTCAGTAGAGGCACTGTTGCTGGCATTCTCAAAGGCTATATCGGGCTTAGTGCTGCAGTTTATACAGTGGTATACAGTGTGGTGCTTAAGGAATCTGCTTTGAATCTGTTGTTGTTCCTTGCTCTTGGGATTCCTGTTTTGTGTTTAGCCTTGATGTACTTTATTCGTCCATGTACTCCAGCTTCTGGAGAAGATTCTTCGGAGCATGTCCATTTTCTCTTCACCATAACTGTCAGTGTTTTGCTTGCAATCTATCTTCTCACAGTCACAGTAGTAAATGAGATAGTAACTCTTAGTGATGCTGTATCCTACATTTTGGTTGCGATAATGGTTATCCTTCTGCTTTCTCCCCTTGCAATTCCGTTGAAGATGACATTATTTCCTGCAAGGGCACGAGCTGAATCTTCGGACCATCTTGCTCTAGGAGAAGGCAATGCAACCCAAGCAGATCCTTTGTTGACACCATCCTCATCAGCTACATACCTTGGAAGTTTTCATGAGGCTGAGGATTCTTCAGATGTTGAAACACTTCTTGCTATTGGGGAAGGGGCAGTGAAGAAGAAAAGGAGGCCTAAGAGGGGAGAGGATTTCAAGTTTCATGAAGCTTTTATAAAGGCGGATTTTTGGCTTCTTTGGTTTGTATATTTTCTTGGGGTCGGTTCAGGAGTAACAGTGCTCAATAATTTGAGCCAGATTGGGATTGCATTAGGCGCTAGTGATACAACAATACTGTTGTCTCTCTTTAGCTTTTGCAATTTTGTTGGTCGTCTGGGTTCTGGTGCTGTTTCTGAACACTTTCTCAGGTTATTACTCATAAACTTCTATCTAACCGTTTCCGGAAAAACTTTTTTTTTTTCTTGTTTACAAGTTGTTATACAAAGTTCCGTACCATAACCAACACCACTTAATTGTTTTTGGATAGGGCATTAATATGTTCTATTTCTACTCTGGTTCTGATTTTTAGTTACAATGATGTTCTTAATAATCTTGCTAACTCACTTGGTTGACTTGTGCTCTTTTAACCTTCAATTTTGTTTTTCTGTTGAGAAAGCTTTCAAACATGGTTGCTTGTCCCTTACTGGGTGTTCTTCCGCTTTTTCCTTCGCTCTATTGTAGGGTTAACAGATTGGAATTATATGTCTGAGTTTCTTGGATGCATTACTTTTATGTCAAGTAGAATGTGATTATTTTCTACTCTATATTTTAATAGATGAATAACTCTCTTCTGTAATAGCATAATACTAATTTGGTATATCATTTTGTACATTGCAGAACGAAAACAATTCCTCGCACATTCTGGATGGCATGTGCACACATACTTATGATTGTATCATTCGTTTTATATGCGTTAGCTCTCAGTGGTACTCTCTATGTTGCCACTGCTCTGTTTGGTATCTGCTATGGGACTCAGTATTCAATAATGGTTCCAACTTCCTCTGAACTTTTCGGCTTGAAACATTTTGGTGTAAATTACAGCTTCATGGGACTTGGCAATCCTATTGGTGCTATACTTTTCTCAGTTCTACTAGCTGGTAATGTATATGATGCTGAAGCTGCAAAGCAAGGAGGGTCCACTTGCATAGGTTCTAGTTGTTTCAGGCTCACATTTATAGTTTTAGCCGGCGCCTGTGGTTTGGGGACAATCTTGAGCATAATTTTGACTATTAGAGTACGACCAGTTTACCAAATGCTTTATGCTGGGGGTTCTTTCCGTCTGCCTCAAAGTGCAAACCACTAATGATTGGAGATGTTATTATCTGTTAACATCAATCCATACAGGTTTGTGGAAGCATGCTCCAATAAATTTATTCAGATGACTAGGGAATATTTGCGGCTTCAGTCTGCTATATTATAGATACTGCCATTGCTGAGATTTGAGCTATGAGTTGCCCTCCAAGTTGGCCTTTGTTGGCTTTGTGCAAATGGCAGATTAAAGAAGAGTCATTTAGTTTCTTTTGTAACTAGCATATAAACCAAAGTCTATGGGGTATGATTTTGATTTTGATGTGCAATTAGAATTGATATATGTAATGTTTCCAATGAGCTAAGAATAAATTCTCTTTAGAAGTATTCAGGCAGGATTTGCGGATGACGCTTGTTGTGCAACCATTTCCCACAGGGAATGCTGCATTGTTTCGATACTACAATACCATATTGGCTGTTATACCACATAAGAATTGAACTTTCTCGATTATATTCCATCACACTTGCAGACTTGCAGTTCACTTTTCTCATTTCTTCTGCCTTTTGAAATGCTGTTATGTAGCTTAGTAACTTCTTTTGATGCTTGTCCCAAACGTAACGGTGGAATGGAAAAGTCTTTTCTGGTTAACACTTGGGTACCTCATTTGCGTTGAGGGGTCTTTTTTTTTTCCTTCCCTTTCTTTTGAGGGGTTGTGGTCCTCATAATTACTTTAGCAGTATGTCTTAAGGATTCTAAAAAGAAATCTAGTTAATAGCAAATCTTCACGGTTGGTGAGTATTTATGCTTCTAAGATGGAAATTTTTCCAAGACATTTAAAGGATAAGAAGCACAATTTTCACTCAATATCTTCACTAAAAACAAAAAATGATACAAATAACCAACCAACCATCAGTGATGCAAAATGATGGCCTTGTTTACTATAGTTTTGCATTCCTGACAACATCATACAAGAACACTAAAATACTAGAAGTGCTTTCAATTATAATCAAAGATAAGGACAAGTGACATATAAAAAAGCAGGAGAGACCCTCTTGGCTATTAAAGTTTGCCAAATGCATAACCCACCTACACTCAAAAAAGCTAAGCAAAGTCTTGTGATGCACAAAGCCAAAACCTCACTTGGTGGAAGAACCCAAAAAATCCCATCTCTCACCATTAAATTTATATCATAAACAAATGACAATAAGGAAGAAGACCAAACTAAAACTAAAACTAAAACCAAATTAGAAAAAGTATATAAGAAAAAAAAACAAGGAACTAAAATTTCATGTGGGTTTCAAGTCCTGGAACATAGTATCCCACCTGATCTCTTCAACCCCAGTCGACCAATAACCATCATCATTATATTGATCATCACCGTCCATCTTTCCTTCCTTTTGAAGATCATAAACCACAGGACTCGAAAAGCTATCGACCTGAGGCCCAGAAACCACCACTGGGCTACCATTTGTGAGCAACAACCTGCTGCCTTGGTTGTTGGCCATGATAATCTTCTTGTTCCTCTTCAACATGGCGCCTCTAAACCTTGACCTGTAATTGCTTGGCCTTGTCACAAGCGCCAGAGCTGATGCGTCTTGTTCACGACGAATCCACGTCCTTACGTACTCAGCTAAGCACCTCTTGGTCCTCTTGATTGCCACCAAGAGCTTTCGAATGGGACGCGGACTTGTTCCCTTTTCTTTTCTAGCAAGCTTGAGGATCTCCAGCCTGTGTTTGGCTATGGAAATTCCCATGCTTTGAAGAAACTCATGGTTGAAGTAGACTATGTCTTCTTCTTCCAGCTCATTGTGAGCAAAAGCAAGACCATACTCATAAACAAGTGAGGGCTCTAGGCCAGTTTTGGACAGCCATGAGAACCAATCCATGGCTTCAAATGATGTAGGGTGACAAATAAACAAAAATAAACTTGATTTTGTGGGTGATATGATTTAGGATTTAGAGAGAGAGAGAGAGAGAGAGATGTGAAAGTAAGGATGGTGAAGTTAGTTGCGGTGACTTAGGCTTACTTTTGGGAGAGAGAGATCATATATATAAAGTAGGAGGAGAGGGAATGTGGAAGTAAGGATGGTGAGTTAGTTGTGGTGACTTAGGCTTACTTTTGGCTTTGGGGGGGTTTTGATTTTTGTATTGCAGATTGGTTGTTAGTTGAAACTTGAGAGAGACCAAAGAAAAAGGAAAAATGTGGGTGTGGGGTACGCATGTCCATTATCCTCCAAAATAGGTTAAATGGCTATCTAACTTTATGGAGTGAGAGCTACAAGGGTTCCATGTGGAATTGTAGTGCCATCAATCACGGCTTCGGAACAAAGTAGGGTGTGGCAGTGGGCAATTTCCCATTACTTGTTTTTGTGCGTTTACTTTAGTTGGAAGAAAGCAGAAAAAGAAAAAAACTCTTTTTTTTTATACAAGCGATAATGGAGGAAGGGGAATTTGAACCCTCGGGTGCAAAGTAACTGCTCTTAATCACCTGAGCTACAAGCCCCTTACAAATAAACTCAAATTTTTACTACCCTTGTTGCAAGAGGTTAATGACTTCGTTTAAACCAAATTAAGTAAAAGCTACCCAATTACTAAAATGATGTCTAATTATATGAATAACATATGATGGATTGAAATTTCTGCTCTTGTTGGCCTGAATTACCAACCAAATTTTGTTTCAAATTTCTCCTTTTGTTCCCCTATTTTCTGGACCTAACCCTTTTGCATGAGTGCAATATATATTTCCCCAAACCACCTAAAATGATTAAAGAAGTTTTGAGTCCACTAAGTTTACTTAATCATGCAATTTTTCTAATTAATAAGTTGAAGGAGGCCCTAAAGAAGTCAATATCCTAACTGGTTGTTGTGCCATTTGATTGCTGAAATCCTATATAAGCAATCTCTGTGACATGGGATTGTGCAGACTAACTTTTTCTATATTATTCTGGGAGAAGTAACAATGATTACCATCTTCCTTAATCTCACAGTATCAATCAGTAATGCAGAAAAGCTCTTTCACATCTCTAGGCCAATCTAGCTTCTGAGAACGTTACAAACGTGAGAAGGCTGTGCTTGAAAATGGCCTGATCAATTTATGGTAGTAGGTTTTGGTCTGCCGTCAACAACAAGCGATTTCTAGCATTTGTCATCTGGGGCCCTTTTCTACAGTGAGACAATGTTCTCATATAGCCATGCCCTAACAACTTACGAAAATGATTTTATATAAACAACTTTGGTGGAAACAATGACATTGTAGCGTTACCAAAAACAATTGAGAAAACAAATAATTTCCCGAACATGTTTCATATGTTGCTTAGTCAATCATATTCTTTCAAGTAAACCAAGAGTTCAAGGGCAAAATAATTATATATTCCTCTACTCTATTTTTTTATATTATCAAAGGTAGGAAAGGGAAGTTGGATTTAGTCTCACACACACTAGTGCTTAGAGGTCTCAAACTTGATACTACTAATCTTAGACCGAACATAATTTTTCACAATGATATGACCCGAGTGGCAATATATATTACTTTACTTGACTATTCAAAAATAATGAAAGGGGATATGAAAGGACATGGAATTGGCAGTCATACTGGACTATTCCGTTTTTTTTTTCTTTTTCTTTTTTTTGGGTACCACACATACTTGACTATTCTATTGCAAAGTTTAGCATGCAAGTTTTAAGTCAATCTGTACCTTGACTTCTGCTTTAGCCTTGTAATAATAAAACAGTAAACTGACCTCATAAAGGCAAATCATAGTGTTCAAAACACCAAAAAATCCCCAGTGCAGCTTTGGCTTTAATTGAGAGACTTGTCTTTGACTGTCCTCCAATCTGCCCAATGAAAAGAAAAGGAATAAAATGGCTTTGTTCTTTTTGTTGGATCAAAACTCAAATTAGTCTCTCAAAATGCTAATTTAATAGTAAACAATTGTGTTTTGTTTGCGTCCAAATTTGTGGCATGAACTCACATGCTCCTATATCAATTACGTTTTAGACTAGAAGAGGTTCACGGGCCCAATCTGTGGAGCACTATTTCCATGTGATTCATAGCAAATATTCTTTCTTTCCAGAGTGTATAAATGATTCTGTCGATGATTAAATATTAGGAGTCTTTGAAACAAACAAAAAATAAAAGGTACCTGATTTTATACAAATGAGGTTTAAGATACTGCAACAGGAGCCCGGTTTTCACCTCTCACATGATGTTCTTGCAGTAATGGATGCAGTGATTTTATGGATGCTCCTTGCACAGTGTGAAATTCATTTTGCTCTTTTTGGGTCCAAATCTGATGTCCCAAACGAGAGAGACAAATGCAAAGGAATACAAACAGAGTTGGATCAAGAAACAGTTAGGGCTCAACGCAAGCGTAGAACAAAGCTCCTAACCCATGCAAAATTGAACTCATTAATACGGGGGCATGGGAGCCCATCAGAAACAAGGACACGCATCAGAGACGGAGGTGGTCGGTTGACCCAACTTTCCAGTTCCACAGCTCTTACACCTATCAATGCTGAAACGTGGGCAGCTCAATTCCTTTTACGGGGGATCCTGTTCCATTCGATATGGGGGAAGACATACGAGACCTTCCTTATCTCCTGAATGGGGGATAGATTGTCTAGATTCTACTGCCAACAGCCCCTGTGATCCCATCACACAAAACCTTAGAGTCAATTTCAAAAGACACACGATCAAATTGCATTAGTTTTGCTAATGCCAACGCATAATTTTGCTTGTTTGCAATAGTTGTGGTTTATTGTTTACAAGAATCCCTTTTTAGGGTTGTGTTGTTCATTTTTTCTGTATCGCAAAAGGTATAGTTAGGTATTATCAATGTTTCACCAACCTCTCCCACCCTTTATATATTAGCACCTTGACTGTATGTAAATTGGGTGTTTTTGTTCCTTTTTTTGTTCTTTTTTTTTTTTTTTTAAGTTTTAAAAAACTGGTTTACGATTCTTTTGTGAAAAAAAAATCCAAAATGCCTAGGTGATTGTCTCATACTTTTACGGGCAACTGCAAACCATGTTTTCTCTTCTTTTTTTATCACTTATTTTGGGAAATTTCTTATTGAGAGGGGAGATAGTATATTAAACTTACATACACTACACAGATGCTGACTTGAACTCAGGCCCCTTCCTAAGGAGAAAAATTGTTCTAACCACTACGCTAGTGGGTCCTTTATCCATGTTTTTTTTTAAGGATTGTGAATATACTATTTTATCCTGATTTACTGAACTATCTTATCTTTTGGCATATTTGTTAACCAATGGCAATTTGTGTGATTTTGAATGTTTCAAGACATTCTCATATTTATAAATATAGATTTTTTATTTTTTATTTTTATATTCTTATTTGGGCAAGGTCGATCTTGAAACCACTTTCTTTTCTGAATTTCTATTTACATGGGAAGAAGGGAAGTGTTTTCCTGCCATAAAATAAAGCTAACGTTGGCACGCATTTGTGGGCCACAAAAAATTAAAAAAATTAAAAATAATAATATAACTTCAATTTAATCCACATGGTGCTATATAATTGAATTTGTGGGCACCACATGCATACCACGTCAACAAACTAATAGACTTTTGACGAAATCCAATAGCATGGACAAAATTGATGAGAACGTGAAAGATGATCCATGACCAAAAAATGCTATAGCTAATAGTTTCATGAATCTGAGTAACATTTTGTAAGTAATTTTTTTCCTTTTTATTAGTGGGGAGGGGCATTTAAACTTGGAATCTCTCACAATTTTGGAAAGAAAAATATTACTAAACCAATAGCTAAATCTTATAACAAAATGAACTAAAATATCCAAATTAATATGTTTATAGTCATGTTAACCAATGATATCATTTTGGGTTTTTAATCACAATGGTCCCTAAACTTAAACTAGAGTTTTATTTTTTATCCTCCAACTAAAATTTTGTGCCATTTTGGTCCTCTAACTCCCTCATTCGTACTGATTCAGTCAAAAAAATTTTTTTTTTTTTTTGGTCTGAATAATTCAGTCAAAAGTTAGGAAGGAATGGGATAAATTCACACATATCACGAGACTTGAACCGAAGACCACTTGGAGTACACCAAAGCCCTGACCAATGCAACTAAAACACATTGGTTTTGTATTCTGCCATACTTCTAACTTATTGCCGGACTTGTCAAGAAAATAGAAATGCTACCCTTTCCAGTCGCGTTCTAGTCTAGTCCAAGTTCCAACGCTCTGTTCCTAGTAGAGCTGGTTTCTTCTCTGCTACCTCTACAACTACAACCAAGCTCTCTTCTGTAAGGTTTAGGCTACAACACCTCCGATTATGTTCAATGATACATCGTCGTTTATGTCACTTTCGGTCTCTCTCCACTCTCTCTGTACCAACTTCACTAACCCATCTCTTGCAATGCAACAAAGATATCCACAAGCTCTCTCTACTCGGCCGAGTAACAGAGGCACGCCAGATGTTCGACACAATGCCTCGAAAAGACTCGGGCTCTTGGAACACTATGATTTCAGGGTACATCCAAAACGGGCTTTTGAACAAAGCCCAAGAGCTCTTTGATTCATTCCAAGGCAAAAATGTGAGAACTTGGACCATTTTGCTATCTGGATATGCGAGACATGGGCGTGCACATGAAGCTAAAGCGGTGTTTGAGTCAATGCCTGAGCGTAATGTAGTTTCTTGGAACGCTATGATTACTGCTTATGCGCAAAATGGTTTGTTAAGAAGTGCTAGGGATGTTTTTGATCAAATGCCTGTGAGAAATACAGTGTCGTGGAATTCAATGATTACCGGGTACTGTCATTGTGGTATGATGGGCGAAGCTCGTGAGCTTTTTGATCAAATGGAGGAGAGGAATATCGCCTCTTGGATGGTTATGGTTTCTGGGTATGTTGAGATAGGTGAGTGTTGCGAGGCTTGGATGGTCTTTTTGATGATGTTGAGGAGCAGCGTGCGGCCAGACCAGGCCATATTAGTTGCCGCATTATTAGCAGTGATGAGGTTCAATAAATTGGAGTTGATCGAGAGTTTGAGGGCAATGGCTTTGAAGACAGGGTATGAAAGCAATGTGGTTGTGGGCACGGCATTTTTGAATGCTTATATAGCAAATGGGAGTTTGGAATATGGGGTGAAACTTTTCGAGAGAATGCCAGAAAGGAACGAATATTCATGGTCGACAATGATTGCAGCATTTTCACAAGGTGGTAGATTGGATGATGCCATTGCATTGTATGAGAGAGACACTGAAAAAGGTGTCGGTACACAGACGGCAATGGTAACTGCCTATGCTCAGAATGGGAGGATTCAGGAAGCAAGACATATATTTGATGAGATTGCCAACCCTACTGTGGTCACATGGAATGCCATGGTTGCAGGGTATGCCCAGAATGGAATGCTTGAAGAAGCAAAAAATATTTTTTACAAAACCCCTGTACCAAATGCTGCTTCATGGGCAGCCATGATTTCTGGGTTTATCCAGAACGGACAAAGCAGAGAAGCTCTGGAAGTCTTTGCTAAGCTTCATAGTTCAGGAATTGTTCCAAATTGTTCAAATTTCACCAGTGCTCTCTTTGCGTGTGCAAACATTGAAGACGTTGAGATGGGTAGACAGATACACTGTTTTGTTATTAAAACAAGGAACCAATTTAATTCATTCGTTGGAAATGGGTTGATATCTATGTATGCAAAGTGCAAAAGCACAGATGTATCACAAGCTTGTAGGATAAAGGGAGTGGGAGACTCCATATCTTGGCTTTCAGAGAGTCTCACATTGGATGATGCTCGAAAAACTTTTGAACGAATGCCAAGACGAGATGTGGTGTCATGGTCTGCTATTATATCAGCTTATGAACAAGCTGGGCAAGGAGATACTGCCTTCAAATTGTTCTTTGAAATGTTGCAGAGAGGATTGAAACCAAACGAATCAACAATAACCAGCCTCCTCAGTGCTTGTGGGTACCTGGGCGCGACCAAGCTTGGGGAACAAATTCATGCCTTGATACACAAACTTGGACTGGATACATGTTTGTTTGTGTGCAATGCTTTGATAACAATGTACTTCAAATGTGGAATTCTAGTTGGCCTTGGTATCTTTCGAGAGATGCCTGATCGAGATATTGTCACTTGGAATGCTGTTTTGACTGGCTGTGCTCAAAACGGATTAGGGAACAAAA